GGCATGATTTAGCATTGGTAGAGGTTAAGTAAGTTATATTGGCATGATTTAGCATTGTAGAGGTTAAGTAAGTTATATTGGCATGATTTAGCATTGCAGAGGTTAAGTAAGTTATATTGGCATGATTTAGCATTGCAGAGGTTAAGTAAGTTATATTGGCATGATTTAGCATTGCAGAGGTTAAGTAAGTTATATTGGCATGATTTAGCATTGCAGAGGTTAAGTATTAAAACAATTTTAGGGCTTCATCATATCATTACAGTCCATGCTACCATGTCCTGCTCTAACCTATTTGACAACTCTGCATCTTAACAATAGCTCTGAAGTATAGTTTCAATTGTAAAAGGCTCTGTCATAAAACTGTCATGTTCAAAAAAACATTCCTTTTCCTTCAAGCTTTCCATAATCCATCTAATGTACTATGACAAATGTTTCACAATAGTCTGATTGTACAAAAATGTACTGGTACTGTATGTGGCAACTTGACTAGTATGTCTTCATGCAGAATGGCATGAATACCAGTTTTTTTCTCCAGCTACATGAGGAATACAACAGTTCAACTGATGCACACAACTTGTTTTGCTTTTCCAGCACAATGCTTATCATTACCTTGCTTTAGATCTCTTCTTGTATAGTTCTGGTGCTCCAAGTTGATCCAAATTTTGTTGTTTTCCAATGGCATTAAGTTCAAGAGATATCCCTATCTTGTAAATTCTAAATTCCCAATATAAAAACATTTGTATGATCTGAGTGTAAGAATATGTTGCTTTGGAAAGAGCTGTTACACATCCTTTCCAAAAGCAATCAATTTTTGGTGACATCACACCCACATACAAAGAACCAAAAATGTCAAACATAGTCTTTGTTACAAGCCACTCCATACTACAACTATACATTGACTATGGTTGTCATATGACTAGTTTTAATATGACATACTCAACCTCCTAAAGAACAAAAGTGTTTAATTTAGGCCTTTTTGATACTTTTTAGGATAACTGCTTATATAAGTTGCATACTTAGAACATAAACAATTGTATTACCTGCATGATGATAATAGCATTTTCAATTGATAAGGGGTCTGAGGGTAATCCTTCACTCTTCCAAGTCAATTGCTCTTGCTCACTGCTCAGGAAGCGACAGAGATCAAAATTGACTAAGCCTAAAAACTCACACCACTGACTTAGAGTAGCTGCTCGGATATCTTCTGGAGCCTCTGACAAATACGTGATAAACGCAGCAGCTAACAACGATCGAAGAGGCAATTCTTCCAATTCTTGATCAATCTGACCTAACTATAAGGAAACAAAGAATAAGGAAACTTTAATATGCTCTAACTATGAGGAAACAAAGAATAAGGAAACTTTAATATGCTCTAACTATGAGGAAACAAAGAATAAGGAAACTTTAATATGCTCTAACTATGAGGAAACAAAGAATAAGGAAACTATAATATGCTATACAAATTGCTGCAACATTATGGGAAATAAGCATGATTATATTAGTTAAGAAGAAGCAATATCATCTACAAAAATATGGTCAGCTTCTACAAGGCATCTATCTACTCAAACAAGAAAGATAAGCATACACAGTAGACAAATCAAGTATTCAAAGATAAGCATACACAGTAGACAAATCAAGTATTCAAAGATGTATGCTTATCTTTGAATACTTGATTTGTCTACTGTGCATGGTTATCTTTGAGTACTTGATTTGTCTACTTTGCATGGTTATCTTTGAATACTTGATTTGTCTACTGTGTATGGTTATCTTTGAATACTTGATTTGTCTACTATGTATGGTTATCTTTGAATACTTGATTTGTCTACTGTGTATGTTTGAATACTTGATTTGTCTACTGTGTATGGTTATCTTTGAATACTTGATTTGTCTACTGTAAAGATAACCATACATAGTAGACAAATCATGTATTCAAAGATAACCATACACAGTAGACAAATCATGTATTCAAAGATAGCCATACACAGTAGACAAATCAAGTATTCAAAGATAAGCATACACAACAGACAAATCAAGTATTCAAAGATAACCATACACAGTAGACAAATCAAATATTCTCGGTCTAGTTGTTGAACAAGAGATTCAGCTACTTTGTATCATTTTATGTATATAAAATAGTTCACATACCTACATTAAAGAAAGAAAAGCTTATACAGAGGTCAAGTCTTACAAACCTGTTCAGTCCACCTCTTGTATTCTCCCTCTAGTTGTTGAACAAGAGACTCAGCTGCCTCAATAGTTTCATTTGCTTTACGCAAGTTAATTTCAATTTCCGCAGCTTCTTTTGTAAATTTGTTGAGTCGATCTCTCAGATGAGAAACTTCCTGTTCCACATCCACTAAAGCAGTACTTAGCCTTGTGATTCGATGCTCAGCAGTTGCCAGGTTTCTACAAACATTAAACGGTATTTAAAACAATAGAAAACACACACGAACAATAGAACAAACCACATGATAAAACCAACTCTTAAAATATATTGAATTTAGGAATGATACTGTTTGCATATGGATCAACTGGACATCAACTAGAACAAAACTTACTATCTGTTAAATTTTCCTTATTTAGACCATGTTTACATAATAAGAACCAGCAGATAAA